CTGAGCTGCCGCCCCGCGAGGCGCGTCAAAGGCTGGGAGAGGAGCGCGGCCCTGCAGGCCTGGCGTGGCAGGAAGCGCTGCGAGGCGCACAGACAGTCAGCCCAGCAGCTCCGGTGCGTTTCCGGAGCCTTGGCCGCCGCGGATAAAGGGGGACGAGGCCCCGCCCCGGCCCCGCCCTGCTCGCAAGCCTCGATTGGTGGACGGAGCGGGAGGCCGGGCCATGGGCGGGGCCTAGACAGAGAGGCTCGTGGCCGGAAGCCAGAGAGGAGAGGTGGGGGGAGGCGAACGGGTGAACGTGCCAGTGAGTGAATGAATGAGCCCACGCCTTGCCAACGGATGCCACAACGAATGACTGGAAAGAATCCTCCTACTTCACCTCTGGGGAATGAGATCTGAGGGCGATGATAGCCAGGCCCCCACTCGAGGGCACAAAGCTCCTCTCTGACTCACCAAACAAGTCGTGTGGCCTTCTTGGTGCCAGGCCAAACCCTTCGGGGGCCATGCTGTAGTTACACAGCGTTCCTCACGCTCGCCCTGCCTCGCTCTTTGTGTGCGAGTGTGTGTGATCAAACACATTCAGTTCAAAACACCGGTAGTTGTTGTTAGGTGCTGTTGAGTCAAGTACAACTCAGCGACCCCCCCCCCCCCCGTGATCGACAGTTTTAAACTTTGCGCTATCCTGCATCATCTTCAGACTTTAGAACCGTTGTTACACTCACTGTGTCAATCCATTTTGTTAACGCTCGTCCTCTTTTTTGCTGACCCTACACTTTTCCCAACTGCTTTAAATAATATTATAAAAAGTTTGGTGTGGATCAACAAAATACAGTTAAAACACTGAATGGGAATCTCAGAACACTCAAATGTGCTCATGTGAAACCTATACCTAGACCAAGAGGCTGTTGTGTAAACAGAGTGAGGGCACACTCTATGGTCTAGAACTAAGGAAGGTGTGCCTCACGGTGGCATCCTCTCTGCATACCTGTTCAATCTGTATGCTGAGCTAATTACTCGAGAAGCTGGACTCTATGAAGAAGAATATGGCATCAACAGGATCAGAGGAAGACTTTGCAATAACCTCAGTTATGCAAATGACACAACCTTGCTTGCTAAAAGTGAGGACGACTTGAAGCACTTGTTGGAGAAAATCAAGGAATTCAGCCTTCAATATAGATTGCATCTCAATGTCAAGAAGACAAAGATTCTTATCACTGGACCTACAGGCAATATCATGATAGATAGAGAAAACATTATACTGTCAACAACATCACCTTACTTGGATCCACCATTAACACACTTGGTACCAACAGTCAGGAAATCAGGAGATGTATTGCACTGGGAAAGTTTGCAGTCAGGGACCTCTCCAAATTACTGAGGAGCAATAATGTCAGTTTGAGCACTAAAGTGTGTGACTCAGGCCATGGTCTTTCCGATCACTTACTATGCATTTGAGAGCTAGACAATGAATAGGGATGACAGAAGAAGAAGAAATACCATTGAGCTGTTGTGTTGGAGAAGAGCACTGAACATCCCATGGACAGCCAAGAGAACAAACATGTCTTGCAGAGAGAGCAGCCAGAGTGCTTTTTTTGTGGACAAGGATGATGAAGCTTTGTCTTACATACTTTCGGTATGTTGTTGTTGTTATGTGCCATCAAATTGCCTACGACTCATGCACCTTATGTACATTAGCTCTGAACACTGCCCCCTCCTGAGCCAATCTCATCATCTCTGACAGACCTAATCCCATTTCTCCAGTCACTGAGTCAGTCCAACTCATCCTGGGTCTTCATTTCGTGTGCTGTTCATTTTCCCTTGCGAGCATAATATCCTTCTCCAAGGACTGGTTCCTCCTGTCCACGTGCACTAACTATGTGAGAAGGAGCTGCAAAATCCCTGCCTTCAAAAAGTTGCCGAGTTTTACCCTCTCCAGGACAGACCTGCTTGTTCTTCTGGCAGTCCACAGTATGTCCAAGAGTCTTCTCCAGCACAACTCAAAGGCATCAATCCTTCTTCTGTCATCCTTAACTATTGCCCAGCTCTAGGATACATAGCAGGTAATTGCAAACACCATAACCTGAATCAGGTGCACCTTGGTCTCCAGATGTTAGGAGGAGCTGCTATTCCTGGAGAGGGACATCATGCTTGGAAAGGTAGAGAGTCAGCAAAAAAGAGGAAGCCCCTCAATGACATAGACTGACACATTGACTGCAGCAATGAGCTGCAGTGTGTCGGAGATGATGAGGACGGCACAGGACAGGACAGGGTTCAGATCTGTTGTTCTTAGGGTCACTATGGGTCATACTTGACTCCATGGCGTATAACAACAAAAACAATTACATTGAGGGGGCAACTCTTTCCCAGTTGCATTTTGAGTGCCTCTCAACCTGACATGGTCATCTTCTAGCACTATGTGCAACAATGTTCCTCTGTTATCCATAGGGTTTTCAAAGATCCATTATTTCAGAAGTACATGGCCAGAGGTGCTTCTTAATCAGTCTGGAAGTTCCACTGAAACCTGTCCACTGTGGGTGATCCTGCTAGTATTTGAAATAATGGTGCCAAAGCTTCCAGCATCACAATAACACATAACTGACAGATGTGTAAAACTAGGCTGACTGGAACAGATCATCAATTACTCATGCAAGGTCAAACAGAAGTTGATGAAAAGGAAAATAAGTTCATGAGAACCAAAATATGATCTTGAGTATATCCCAAGTAAATGTAAAAAACATCTTAAGAATACATTTGACACATTAAACATTAATAACTGAGGACTTTTCAAGCTGTGGAATTACCTCAATGATATCATCCACGAAAGAAGCAAAAAGGTCATTGCTAAGACAGAAAGACAGGAAAAGCCAACAAGAAAACAAAAACACTCACCACTGGAGCAATCATGAGTGATGGAAGGATGAATGGTGAAACTCTGCCTCACTTACTTTGGACATTTTCAGGAGGAACCCATTCTTAGAGAGGCATCATGCTGGAAAAGGTATAGAGATAGAGGCCAGTAAGAAAGAGGGAGATTCTCACTGAGATGAATTGACATGGTGACTGCCACAAGGTCAAGCATGACAGGCATCCTGAGGACGTTACAGGACAGGACAAGGTTGTTCTGAGTCATAGTTGACACGATGGTACCTAACAACAACATCGACATAGAATGGATATCTCATACATGCATCGAATAGGTATATATATTTTTTCCATTTTTGTTTTTATGTGCCATTGAATTGGCAACAACAACTCATAGCTGGCCCCCCATGGAGTTTTCAGAGGCTTTAAATCACACAGGAGGAGACTGCTCATCTTTCTCCTGTGGATTCAAATTGTGTGCTGTTTGGTTGGCAG